AGCAGGAGAAAGTGAGGAAAGTGAAAATACTGTGATTCACTGCAACCCTTTCTGCTAATGTATTTTAGTCTGCATTCACTCCCCCATTAACAGAAGTGGAGCAAACTACAAGTTTTGAAAGTGAGCATTGGGAGTGAAAGAAATATTCCTGCCTTAATTTCTGCACAGCAGCATCAATGTGTTACTGAGTGTGTGCAGGATAAACTGGTTTGGATAAGAGTAGTTTGAAGAAACTTCTGAAGGAAAAAGAACTCTTACTTGATCAAAGGCATGAAGCCTACATAAGTGCCCAGTGCTTATGTTCCTTCTTGGGTAATGTCTATGTTCAGTTGTCAGTAAGATCTTGCAGGCTTCTTGGGTGAGAAAGTTGCACAAGGGACAGCTGAATGGGAAATGGAGATCTGCACTCCTCCACTGAAGTTATATGGCGTTAGGGGTTTTTTGGCTTGGTTTTTTTTTAATATATGGCATAAATAGTGCAGATGTGCAAGGAGACACCCATCCTCCTTCCTATTTACAATTCTGGTTTCTGGAGTCAAAACAGTCCCTTAACCTTGCGGCCAAACAGAAGACTATCCGTCTTGTGTGTGAGGAGGGTATTTTTACTTTGTCCTTTCAGTGTTTCCTTGCCTGTTTGGGTAGTGCAAGTTGGAGGTTGTGCTGTCTTCTCATCTGCATTCTTTTAAAAATTCCAACGTGAGATTTGTTTGGCTTGCAAGTATTGTAGACGTTATCCAACTTTGGGATATCTGAAAATCACTTTTGTTTGTGACTGAACATCCTTGGTTCAGCCACACCCTTTCAAGCCTCGGTTTACCAAATCAACGTAATAGGTGTCTTTAAAAGGTTGGGGAGCTCTGGAAACCTCTAACATCCAAAGTCCCTTCCTGAGAACATGTACCACTCTTGCACCCCCCTGCCCCCCCTGTTCCTGTGGTCTTGCACAGTCTAATGAGTCTTTTGAGGAACTCTGAGAGCTTGCGCACAAGGTAACACCATGAATGGGTGGGTGACTTAAAACTCATTGAGCTTGTTAAAATAATATTACCATGGTCCTTCAGCAGCCTAAAGGCCTCGTTATACAGCTGTTATTTAGCTGTGTGGTATTTGGTATGAACCAAGACAGAGGCTCACTTCCACAGTGAGTTTATTGTTGGATTTTCAGTATATTGTTTGTGTAAATTCCCTAGACCAGCTCTCCCTCCTGAACAAGCCACATGGATCAAGTTTTATTCTGTTCCACACAAAGTTCACATCCTTTACTGGAATGAGTCATGCTTTAACTGAGTTTACTGTGAGGGAGGAAAGTGGGCTTTAAAATGTTACTCCTCCACCCTGCCTTAGTGATGTATAACAGGATTATTAGCATGCTTGGCAGCTGCCGCTTATTATTTTCACAGAACCTGGATATTTGTGAAGAGAAGTAAAAATTGGTTCTACTTGTGTTCAAGTGTGAATTTAATGCATAATTTTAAACTTACAAGACAAAAAAGCTATTCTTTTTTTTTTTTTGTGGCTTTGCCTGCCTTTGGCTTGCCTGCTACTGTGTAAAAGTGGATCTGGCTTATCTCCCTGTGGTTATTCTTCAGTTTTGGGAGAAGAATGGCATTTTGTGACTTGTAACTGAAAGAGGAGGAGAGACCTTATCTGTGTTCAGTGGCCCATGCATGGCTATTACTGTTAGACACAGGACACTTCTGGGCCTTGGCATGTGAAGGTGCTTCACAGGCCCGTGTAACTGTTGTGTAAGGTTGTTTCCAGCTTCTCGCAGTCAAGAAGTATGTGATGTGGTGCCACTGTGCAGAAAGCAATATTTCTTTGTGGGGAGAGGTAAAAGACCTTTTAACCTGTGGTGGAGGGAGCTGCTCAGTGTGTCCTTAATATAGATTTTTTCAGAAACAGTCTCTGTATGCAGCTACTAAAGGTACCAGAACCAATTTTACTACTCATCTTTCCTGCAGAAGCCCATTGTTATCTCATGCAATAACTGTTAATTTGACTCTTCATACCACCATCCTTTTTTCTTTTGGGTTTTTTTTGATTGGGTTGGGGGGAGGGGCGGGTAGGAGGGAGCAGGGAGGTGGGGTGGTGGTTCGTTCATTTGTTTACTGAGTTAGTCTCAAAATGGAGGAGGAGGGGCAGCCAACAGAAAAGGGCCTCTTAGGATTTTATTTTTGGCAGTAGGCTGGTTCACCTGACATGCAAGACCTCTCTTCCCTAGTCCTCTTGTTCCTGAGAGGTCTGGAAAGAGTTACGTTTCTCCCTTGAGCTATATATTATCTGTGATTGCTAGACTGGCAAGGGTATCATCTGTTCTTGTTCTACAGAAAAAACAGGGTCTATTACCCTAATGCATTGCATAACTTTTATGGAGCCTGCAAAGGGATGTATTTTGATGATAATGCTTTTGAAGGAAAACTTGAGGGAAGAAGCTGTAATTAAATGAACACCAATGTTAGATGTTAGAAAGGACGTTACCTTTTAGGACTTAGAATGAGTGAAGTGGATGTTTGGTGACAATATGAGTTTAATTAAATTTACGCCTCCACTTGATCTATATTTAACTATCACTGACTCTGGGTTTACTGATAAGTTATCATAATAGCTGGGAGGCAGGCAGCGCCTTGGTTGACCAGCCTGTCTCCTGTCCAGCCTGACTCTGACCAGACAGATTTTTCTCGTGTGTTTTCCAGATGCTTCATTCAGTGGCACACCACCTAGCTATGCGTATGATGCAGACCGTGCTGAAGAACAGAGGCGACATCATGATATGATGCCCTATATTGATGACTCGCCATCATCCTCACCCCATCTCAGCTCCAAGAGTCGGGGCAGCCGAGACACCCTATCTTCAGGGTCTCTGGAATCTACAAAATCAGTGAGTCCTTTCCTGCCTTTTTGGAGTCAGCAAAGCCTTGTAGGTTTGCAAGTTGTAGACTGCTTTAACAGAGAGTGAAGACAGGGACTTCTGGCACTGAAGGACAGATTACTGACATAATATAGCAGTGCCTGACTGATATTCTGTGTTTAAAGCGAAGCTGAGGCTTCTAGCTGGTGGTAAGCCTAAACTTCAGGCATGAGTGTTTTGTGTGTATGATTTTTAAGCCTCAGTTTTTCATCCTGTGTGAATTTTAGTCGAGACAATTGGTGATTAATTGCTGTTGAAAGGGTCTCTAAATACCAGATATGTTGGAAAGGACACTCTGGAACAAAACATCCTGCACTATGATGTTCATACATCTGTGCGTGTGGGTTGTCATTGCCTTTCACAAGGAAAATAAGAGTTATTTTCAGGTAGGTGAAGGGATTTGATAAAGCATCTAGAATATAAGTTGTTTCCTTCACCCTGTGAAAATGGAATAAGAGGGATTAAAGCTGCTAGCTCTGAAGTATGGTGACTTTGGGTGCGAGATAGCCACTTATAATGAATTTGACTATTCACTAAATAGCTCTCTATTT